ATAGGAGCTCAAGCTGTGATTTCTAATCTTAAAATGATCTCTTCTCAATATTTTATTAAAAGTATGTTTGATTTACCCGGAAAGCTTCATTTTTATCCCATCAAGATTTAGAAGAATGTTATGATACACCCATTTCCTTTAGAATCAAGCTGTATCTTAAAAACGTAAAAGTTTACAAAAAAACATGTTTTTGTTTGCATTTCTCCTAATAATCTTCAAATAAATATTGGAACTGGGTAAATATTTCCCGAACACACCTTTGTTTGATGATGAATTCGCATCAAATGCACATTTATCCAATTCAAACACACTTTGCCGATGTGATTGCCGTCGATTGTTTGAAAAATGTAACATATTCAACATGACGCGTCAGATAGCCTGAAAAAATTGATTGTTCCGTGAATTATCGTAGTTTTTGGTAAAAGTGCTGTTCAGCGAACAATTCAACGATATATTGTTGTTGGTGAAAATTGCATGAACGTATGAATGAGTAAAAGCATGAAGTAATGAATGAAATTAGCGATTGATCTTTGCGGAGGTGATTTCACCTTATTGTGTACTTTTTGTAGTGCAGATAGTAGTATAGCAAAAAGGCAAAAATTGCTGGGTTAAAATTTGTGAAAACAAAGAGGAAAAATGGTTTTTGAAGCAGGAAAAAGTGAAAAGTATGAGAAAAATCGAGGAAAGAGGATCAGATCTGGTGGTAACAAAAAAAAACTCCAATTTTAAAAGGGTTCGGCATCAACCGAACATCAGAGTTGCCTACTCGTAGGCATGAATGTCCGGTTAACTATCAGTTGGCAACTGAATCATATCTCAACAATGTGCATACCTACGAGTAGAGGTTCTTATCATTGACACTGAGCAAATAATCTTCTGATCACATGGATGACAGCAAGAATTCCATTTTTTTAGCCAGATAGCACCCAACAGCTATCAAACAATTGACATTTGTAGTTCTCAAATTACATACTTTTATACGTACAGTCTAAATTCTACACTCTTTACTTATGCAATATTTTCTTTAATCTGATAATT